CACAAAGTGCTTCCTCCCCTCCTGGGCGCCCCGGAGCCGCTGCTGGGCCTCCGGGACCTTGGCGAACGGGGTGTCAAGGCCGTGGGAGGAGCCTGGGTCTGCGCCTGGGGGCTTTCGGTGGGGCGCGTGGACGGCTTCGGGCTCGTGGGAGCGAGACCGCGTGGGGTTGGAGGTGCGGGGGGGCAGTTCTGACTTCTGGGCCGCGGACGGGGAGCCTAGGAAGCAATGCAACAGGTATTTCATGAGCACCTACTGTGCGCGGCGCTGCACTGCGCCCCACAAGTCACCTCAAGCCCGGATCGCCGAGACCCAGGAAGGCCCGCTGTTCTTTATCAGAGTCCCGTCCCCGCCTCCTCCTGGCCTCGGGGGACGGCGCTCTGCAGTGGAGCCCTGCCATCTGCTACGTGGGAAGAACTGTGTCTGTGTGGGGTCTTTAAACAGAATTCCCCTCCCTAGGGAGAGCTGCGAACGAGAGGGAGGCGGAGAGGGTGCCCATCTGGGGTCGTGGGGCGTGAAGGAGACCTGCAGGCCTGTTCCTCAACTTCCAAGGTAACCCCAGAAACCCAGCATGGTGGGGGGTGAAGTTACCTGAGCTCTGTTCTCATTGGTCTCAGCCAGAGCTGGGACAAGAGATGGGACGAGAGCTGATACAGACAGAGCTAGGGAAGTGGGGTCCTCCCTGGGCGGAGAGGGGCGCAGGGCAGGAGGGCCAGGTGGGTGTGGGACGACTGGTCTTCACTGTGTTATAAGCCCTCAGATACTCTCTGATTTGGCTCGCTTTGTGCCTGTGTTAATTATTTTTTTAAATATACTTTTATTGATTTTTAGAGAGAGAGACAGAAACATCAATGAGAGAGAATCATGGACCGGCTGCCTCCTGCACAATTGGGGATCGAACCCACAACCTGGGCATGTGCCCTGACCGGGAATCGAACCAGAGACCCCTTGGTTCATGAGTCAATGCTCTGCCACGGAGCCACGCCAGCTAGGCATTCCTTTACCTTTTTTTAAGGGTTTTAATGTCATCGCCTCCAATAACATCTGGAACCTGTCCCATCCAAGCCATGCCTTCCCCAGCCCAGGGGGGACGGTGACCACGCCCCCCTCAGCCCGCCTTACCAGGCCCGAACTGGGACGTGTAGTTCTCTATCCCAGCGAGGTCTAAATAGTGGTTTCTCCTCTCAATGTTCTCATCCACGCAATGGTGGTAGCAGCCCGGCTGCTCCAGACGGCTGTCCCCCTGGAACCTGTCACAGGAAGGCAAGTGAGTGACGGGTGCTGG